TCATTCTATTGAAGGTGGAAAAATGTTTTTCTATTTTAAAAATACAAATAATTTAAAATAAATTATTAAATATTTTAAATAAGCAAAATAAATTACTGTTAAACTAAATGTTATTAATATCCAAAAAAAATTATGAAATCAAGTTTAAAAATATTTTAAAAATGGGACGGACAAATTTGGGGTACAACACACGAATTTTCAGGAGTTCTTTATCAAATTAGGCACCATCCAACACTTCATGTCCGTTGAGCATCCACAGACAAACGGGTAAGCCAAGTCTGCTAACAGGGTGATCCTACGAGGCCTCATGCGAAGGTTGGACGAAACCAAAAAGAGATGGGTTGAAGAGTTGCGCAATGTACTCTGGCCCTATCGAAGAATAGCTCACTCGTCCACCGGGGAAAATCCCTTCCGACTAACATACAAAACCGAGGCTATCATCCCTGTCGAGATCAGAGATCCCTCTAGACGGATTGAAGCTCCTCTCGATGAAGAGATGAACGATGTGGAATTAAGGGAAGAGCTCGATCTTATCGAGGAAATTCGAATCAAAGTGGCCTTACGAGAAGTCTCCCTCAAACAAAAAAATCGCCATACAATATGACGCCAAAGTCATACGACGTGAATCTGAAGTCGAAAGCTTAGCCCTGAAGAGAAATCACAAAGAGTCTCGCAAGGGAAAGCACGGCGCAAATAGGGAAGGTCCCTATCGCGTTAATGCAAAAACGAGGAACATGTTCTACTACTTAGAAAACCTACATGGGGAACAACTTGCTTTACTCTGAAACATCAAAAAACTAAGGCAATATTACAGTTAAGACACTGAAATAATCGGCGTGCTTTGTCAAAACATGAACATAATTTTTCCGACCATATGTGCATGTCTAGGTACAAGCATGACACCTTAAATTATACAAAGAAGCAAGTTTCCACTCTGTTAACGAGCAGATTCTTAGCCCGATAGAGAAAACTCAAATGAGCTCCACCATCATTGTACCACGATGGTAGAACACCTAGCTCGCGATGGGAAGTTCACGCCATCGAGCTCAGGCCCCAAACGAGACCTGAGTTCCGGCCCATGCCCGAAAATTACCCTAGCCGTTCGACCAGTCTCCCCACACTGGCAAACTCAAATACTAATGAGCAAACCCCCCAAAAAACTATTAATCAGAATGAACGACTGGAACAAACGAGCATACATATATGAAAAAAGAGGGTTGAACCAACATGGCCCTCTTGCTCGAATGATCCATTTCCTCGTATAACAGGGACTCTTCCCGGTGGACCTCTAAGGAACCTCCTTCAAAGAAAGTTTTGTTGCGAAAGCAGGGGGGCACCTTGAATTTCTTAGGACCTTGCTCCCCAATCAGATCTATCAGGTCATCTGAAGTGGGTCTGTTGGTCCTCGAGCTCACTGGAAGAGGAGAAGCATGCCTAGCAATCAGTCCCGACGAAGAAGTCATCGACTCTATCGAAGGTGCAACTGGTCCATTAGAACCCAAAATGCTCTTGGAGATCCCTTTTTGTGCTTTCTTGGCCTTGGCCACAACATTCTTGAGCACGCGTTCCTGAGGAGTAGACATTTTCTCTGCAACAAAACAAACATGAATTAGCAAAACATGGATATCAGAGTAAGGGCATGTCAAAAAAACAAAATGACTACCTAAATATTTCAAAGGCTCATCGCATTTGAGGAGCTCTTTGACGTTAATAAGACCGGGCTCAAACACAACTTTCCCCTCCTCATCAACGAGGACCTTTCCCCCTTTTCCCAGTCATTGAACTAGGGGTATATGCCTTCGATAAACGCCAGCAATTGGTCATAACTAGCATGGTCTTCAGTGTTCAACTAGTCTGCCTTCACAATGTAATGATCGATCATATGATCAAAATGCTCACTGTTCCAGTGAAAGTTGAACCTCTGCACCAACTCCCTCCTCAATTCACCCCTCTTTAGTCATCATCAGCTCCTCGTCCTCGCCCCTCTTGGGGACACTCATGAAAACATTAAGAATATCCTTCTCTGATATAGGTTGGACCAACAAGTACAATTCTTGTAGTGTCTAACAGACTCAAGAAGGCCTTGAACAGCTTCCTATTAGCCTGCTTCAAGGAGACCCATCTGAACTGATTTCCAACTGTGCCCCTTTGAAGGTAGCAGTAGAAGAACAAAGGGACAGTGGCCTCAATCTTCAAATAGTTACACACAATCTCAAAAGCCTGCATGAAGGCTATTGATTTATGGTGGAGTTGCGAGGGAGCAAGACGAAGATAGTTAAAAATGGCCACCTGTAGGTCGGTGATGGGAAGCTGAAAACCCATGTCCCTAAAAAGGATCTCGTACATAAGGAAATTATATATATCATACTTCGAGCAGATGCGATGACGCTTTTCAGGGATGTAGACAATCCATTCCTCCTCAACATTCTCTTGCTCCATCCCCGCGACCATAATTATAAACACTTCATTCGGATGCTCGGTGAAACCGAAGGTAATCTCTTGAGGACCCGGTGTGACCCAGTCCATGGAAGCCACAAGGGCCTCGGGCACATTATGCTCGGGTTGAATCTGTCCTGACATGCTCAACTAAGAACCTTGTTGCCCCGACATACTCTCTTTGGTCGAAGTATGCTCGGACAAACTCTATTGGCCTTCACTTTTCTCGCTCATAACTTCATCTTCAGTGCTACTAGATATTTTACCTGAAAAGCAAAGGACGAAAGTGAATTCGACGTCAAATCAAATCCACCCTTCCACCGATAATCAAGTGAAAGGGCGCGCAAAGGAACAAGGACACTGTGCCTGACCAGAGTCTTCCCTTAAACAACAAAAAATCACACAAGGACAATTCCCTCTAACATGTTAGGCGCCTTTCTTCCGAGATAAACCCTTGCTCGTGCCAGGAATAATCTCCCCGACAACTGTGTCTTAAACCTCACTTGAGGGTTCATCAGAAAACGCATGAAGATCATCGCAGAAACCCAAAAACGGCCCAAAAGCTCATCGCAACTTTCCTTTGTCAGCCTTAACGCCAGACATTCCCAAAGGATTCACGGCGAAGCCGACATCCTCATGTGGTAGAAACACCGTCATACGCCAACAAACCACCAGAAAATTTTGCACTAAGCTACTTTAATCCTAACTGCATGTATCTCTAGAAGAAAAAAATAGAAAATCTAACCTAGAACAGAGATGAATTTCACAGAAACAGAGAAAAATCAAAGAAATTATTGGGTCGGGAAAGATTGACGACAGAACGAACAGGAACTTTGACGTTCAACGGTGGTACTGGCAGAAACTTCAACGATGAACTGCAACGCTTTGCAGAACTAGCAGAAATGAGTAAAAGGAAACAAGCGAAAGTGCAAATGAAGCTTCATCTCTCCCATTTATAGGCAACTTAGCTAGCACGTGAGCGGACACGCGCCTATAGAAACCTTAGGATCGTCCTTATTGCGCCCTAGTCTCTAGACTTGCCATCATTACACATTTATGACATTGCGTGGCTCGATGCAAGCATGAAACACTATCTCCCAGAGTCCAATCAACCATTCGGCTCCCCGTGCATCGAACACAAGGAACCATGTTCGGTTCCCTCGACACAGGTATCCTCGAACGCATCCTGAAGCATTCCCGTCTCCCACGACGAGCACCAAAAAGCACTACCACCTCTTCGACACGCGGATTGACTCTAAGTCATCACTCCTACGCCTATGAGCAACGACTTGGGGGGCTCCTGTTCTGGACTGGCCTAATGGATAGACATGGCCCAATCTGCTTCTATCTTCCACATTGTCCAACAACTTTGGCCCACTAGCCCTGGACCTTCAGACGGGAACACTTGGTTGAATACACCCCGTGAACAAAGAGACTAACGAAGCCCTTAGCCCTGCGCCTGCCCACATCGATAACTAACTCCAGGTCTGCTCGACATATGTGGAGCAGACAACCCAAAAATGTCCATAACGCATCTGTCCGTAATCTCTAGCTTGCTCGGAGCAACGACTAGTTACGAGCATGAATGCTTGTTTTGATTAAACCTTGACAGTTACCTATTTTTGAGGAACCTAATATCTAAACCCCAAAATAGAAACCAATGGTCAAACGCTGGGGACACTATATAAACTCGCACACTTGTGATGACCAAGTATCTAATATTCACTCTAAAAAATTCTAATCTGTTTCTTGTATCTCTTTGCATCCATTTTTACTTGATCGTCGAAGTGCCTTACAGATACACCCCCTACTCTCCTCAATTTTCCAACCTAAGAGACACCATCCTTCGATTCACTTTTAGATTATGATCAACTTATAAGATCAAATTTTATCTCAATAAATAAATTAAATGGACGATCTAATACAATAGTTATTATAAAATGTCAAGCTTGTTATCGTGTGCTAAGATTGTTATTTCTTTAACTTTTTGCTTATTCCATTTATTTTTTAATTTGTCCTTTATTTTCTATTTTAGGTTAGCTTAATGATTTTTATAGGATTGAAAAAACATGCAGTTTAAAGTTATGAGGTAATTATCTAAGAATACTTGGATGAGATGAAGTGTTTCTTCTAATTTAATCGAAAATTTAAGTTAGATATCTATTTTGAGAATGCAGTCGTGTGAAAACTGGCTCGGTTATATGGTTCCACAACCTTTAAGGGATTAGTCGCAAAGATATCTTGGCTAATAAAAAAAAGTTATGAGGTAATTATTCATTTGAAAATATCACTAATTTGACAAATACATTTTGTCTTTAACTGATAATTGCTAATCAATTTATTTATTTTATTGACAGCTAAATATTAGTATATTTTTAGAAAACAAAATAAATAAAAAATATGCTCTTTAATTTTATTTTTTATTGGTCAGATACTAGTGACTCAAGAATTTCCCACCTATTTTTATTTCTATAGTTATTCCTATATTAAGACATGTACCATTACTACAACACTAGTATCTGAGAGAGAGAGTCACCACAACTAGCTACCATACAAAGAACGAAATGGGGTGTGCATCTTCTAAAGGCATCGACGGCACGGCAGTCGCCGTATACCAACCACCACCGACGAGCTTCGCCGTATTTGACATAAACTCCATCGAAGAACCATGGCTCAAACACCTCAACGACAACACCAACACCATGTCTCAAGAAAACAAACCCGCCCTCCCTCAACCAATCCTCCACATCCTGGACGCCACCGAGAAATCTCCTCAATCATGGGAAGATGTCAGCAAAACACTCCAACACCTCAAGCCAATTGTTCAACAAGAAAAATCTCCACAAACACCACCACCACCATCACCACCATCGTCACAACCACCACCTCCACGTAAGGTTGCTTCCTTCCGAACACTCGAAGAACTAGACGCGAAAGTAAGCCCGAAGGATAATAAGAACGAGGCACAAATCAAATCAACTGCGAAAACCGAGGTTGATGGTGATGGTGATAGATTGAGAACAATAAAACCTACGTTGTCTTCGAAACTGAAGAACAACATATTCATACAGAAAGACATGTTGGAGAAACAAAAAGAAGAAAGAGAATCGAATTTCGAACGGTTAAGGAGGGACCCTTTGAGTAACTACCCGGAGAAAGTTCCACCGAACGGAAACGATGCTGTAGTGATATACACAACGTCGTTAAGAGGAGTTAGAAAAACATTCGATAATTGCAACAAAGCTAGAGATTTATTGGAGAATCACAGGGTGATATTTGACGAGCGTGACGTGGCGCTTCATGGAGAGTTTTTGAAAGAAGTGAAAGAGTTGTTGTTGACGGAAGAGGAGTTAGGGGTTGGGGTGGTTTTGCCAAGGGTGTTTGTGAAAGGGAGGTATTTGGGGGGGTTGGATGAGTTAACGGAGTTAAATGAAACGGGGAGACTTGGAAGGATATTGAATGCGACTCGTGTGGAGAGAGGTGTTGGGAGACAAGGTTGTGGGGGGTGTGGTGGGGCTAGGTTTGTTCCTTGTTTGGATTGTGGTGGAAGCTGTAAGTTGGTGGTTAGTGGGGTTGAAATAAGTGATTCGACACTGCAGAGGTGTCCTAAGTGTAATGAGAATGGGTTAGTTCATTGCCCTGCTTGTCTTTGATTTTGAGTTTTGGTACTTGTTAAGTTATTGTTGTTGTTGTAATAATATTGACTCATAGCTTGATACTATACTACTGTTTTATTCATAGTATTGTCACGTGTATGTGATGGTTATGTTTATCGTATGATCAAATTAATTGTTAAACTTGTAATGGCTCTTGCATTCTGGATGAAAAATATATAGGGTCGATGAATGATAAATAAATTTCAGTAAATTTGACTATTTCATAGTTTGAAGAAATAGTTACATCTATGACGAGGCAACATTTGTCCCACATATCGATTGACAATATGATGAATCGGTTGGTGCAAGGTAATAAAGTGAGAGAAGAAGAATGAACAAGAATGATAACAAGACTATTGTTGTATATCAATTAGAGGAGATAAAATTGGATACAATATTCATAGCCTAGTATAGCATATTTATACTAAATATTGAAAATGTCAAAATAGTCTATTAAAGATAAGCATTGAGAATTGTAGACATTAACTAAATTATATTTACAATATCATCCCTTAATTTAGATATTCTATCAGAAGTTAACAACACCAATTTCATCTCTCAAGCGAAGAAATTGATCTGTCTTAACTGCCTTCGTCAGAAGATCTGCTAGCTGTTTCTGAGTGCAGCAGTGCAGAACTTCTAACACTCCTTTCTGCACTTGACTTCTGAGAAAATTATACTTCGTCTCAATGTGCTTGCTTCTTTCATGTAGCACTGGATTCTTGGCAAGTTCAATTGCAGATTTATTATCAATCACCGGCTTTAGAGGTTCCTCAACTTCATCCTTCAGATCATGCAAGAGATTCAGAAGTCAAACAGCTTGACAAGCAGCTACAGCACATGCGATATACTCAGCTTCACATGTTGACAGAGCCACGACAAACTGTTTCTTGGAACTCCAAGAAATGGAACCTCCCAGAAATTTAAACAAGTATCCAGAAGTACTTCTCCTGTCCACTCTGTCTCCACACCAGTCAGAATCAGAATAACTTACTAATTCTGGTTTTGTCTTTCTTTCAGAAGGAAACAACACTCCATATTTCAGGGTTCCCTTGATATATCTCAGAATTCTGACAGCAGCTTGGAAATGAGATTACTTTGAATTACTCATGAATCTGCTAACCAATCCAACTGCATAATAAATGTCAAGTTTAGTATTGCATAAATACCTTAGAGAATCAACCAACTGTTTGAAGGTTGTGGTATCAACAGAATCACCATCAGAGTTAGAATCCAATTTTTGATTGGTTTCTGATGGTGTCACAACAACTTTGCAATTCTACAGCTTAAATCTCTTCAGAAGTTCTAGTTTGTACTTCAACTGATGTAGAATGATACCTTTCTTCGAGTACAAAATCTTCATCCCTAGGAAATATGTCATTTTTCCTAGATCTGTCATCTTGAATTCATTCATCAGAACTTCTTTAAACTTCTTTATATCTTCTGGACATCTACCTGTTAGCAAAATGTCATTAACATAGAGACACACAAGAATCATATTGTTGTCAGAGTGTTGCACATAAACGCCACATTCCATCTCTTATTTCTGAAACTTCTACTTCTTGAAAAACGAATAAATTTTCAGATTCCAAGCTCTGGGCGCTTGCTTTAGTCCATACAGAGTTTATTCAAACTGTATACCATCCCTTCCTGATTCTTTTTCACAAATCTAAGAGGTTGTGACACATAAACTTCTTCCTGTAATCGACCGTTCAGAAATGCCGACTTCACATCCAGATGCATTAAAGGCCAATTTCTATTTGCAGCTAAAGCAATCACCAGTCTGATTGTTTCATTCCTAACTACAGGCGCAAACACCTCAAAGTAATCTAGCCCAGGTTTCTGAAGAAAGCCTCTAGCTACTAGTCTAGCTTTGTGCTTGCCAACTTAACCACTTGGCTCAAGTTTCAACTTAAAAACCCATCTGACGCTGATGACTTTTTTTGTTATCTGGAAGTTTAGTCAGTTTCCACGTTTTGTTCCTTTATATTGCCTCAAGTTCTTATTTCATGGGATTAATTCATTCTTTCTTCTTGAGAGCTTCTTCAATGCCCACTGGTTCAAAATCTACTAACATGGCACACTGAACGACTTCTCCTTCAGAGTCAACTTCATTATCCTGCAACATGTCGAAATCTACAAACCTTCTTGGTTTTTGTCTGATTCTCTGTGGTCTTTGAGCTTGTTCTGAAGCTGCACCAAAACTACTACCTTCAAAGTTTTCCCTTCCAAAATTATGATCACCACCAGATTCTGGATCATCATCAGCATTTGGATCATTATCAGATCCATTGTCAGAATCTTCTCCTGACTCATCTTCAGAATCTTTAGAATCAGATTCATCTTCTGAACTTTCTAAAACATCTTCAGAGGCTAACTCTGGTGTTGGCACTATACCAGAATCTGATTGAGACTTGTTCCAATCCCATGTTTCAGATTCTTTCACCACAACGTCTCTGCTGACCTCAACTTTATTAGTTTCTGGACAATAAATCTTATGCGCACCTGTACTGTGGTACCCGACCAGCAACATTACTTTGCTTCTATCATCCAGTTTTTGTCTTATAGCTTCTAGAACGTGTTTGTAACAGACAAAGCCAAACACCTTCAGATGACTGAAACTCTGCTTATCTCCAATCCATTTTTCTAAAGGAAAAACTTCCTTCAGCTTCTTCGTTGGACACCTATTTAGAATATGCGCTGATGTGGCAACAGCTTCTCCCCATAGCACGTGAGGTAGCTTTTTCTCTTTCAGCATGCTTCTGGTCATATCAAGCAAAGTTATGTTTCTTCTTTCAGCAAGACCATTGCGCTGAGGAGTATATGGAGCAGTAACCTCATATTTTATTCCATTCTCCTCACATAAATTCTGGAACTCTGTAGAGTTATACTCACCCCCACCATCCGTTATCAAAATCTTCAACTTCTGACCACTCTGCTTCTCAGCCTTCACTTTGAACTTCTGGAACTCAGTAAACACTTCATGCTTGAACTTGATGAGTGTTACCCATGTCATTCTTGTGAACTCATCCATAAAAGACACAAAATATTTGTTTCCTCCAAGTAAAGGTACTGGAAATGGTCAACACACATCAGAATGTACTACTTCTAGAGCATGCTTCGCTTTGGGGGCTACTTCTGATGCAAATGGCAATCTGGGTTGCTTGCCTTTCATGCGTATCTCACATGACTTCCCAGGCTTCATAATCTTCAAAATACCATGTACAAGCTTCTTAGAACATAGATGCCCTAGGCTTTTATAGTTCAAATGCCCCAATCTCTTATGCCACATCTTACTGTCACCTTCAGCGCCTTCTGTACTAAGACACGTTGCTTCAGCTGTTTCTACATTCACCTTGAAAGTTCTGTTGCTTCCTTGTTCAGACTTCATGATTAACTTCTAATTGGAATCATACAACACAAAGAGATTATTTTTCATAACAACTGAGAAACCTTTCTCAATCAGCTGACCCACGCTCATCAGTTTACTTCTAATACCAGGAACTTACCAAACATCTTTGATTAGAATTTTTTTTCCATTCTTCACTCTAACTCTGACATCTCCCATACCTTCTGCATTAAGATACTTATCGTCAGCACATCTGATCTTTGTTCTCCTTCTAGAGTCAAAATCTATCAGCCATTGTTTGTTTCCAATTAAGTGATTTGAAAAACCAGTGTCCATATACCACGAATCTTCTGATCATTTTTCATCAGAATTAGAAGCCATTAGTAGCACAGGTTCATCATCCGAGTTTCTCTTAGCCATATACGCTTCTTCTAATTTCCTTTCCTTGTTTGACCTACAATCTCCGGAAAAATGGCCAAATTGTTTACAAGAGTAACATTGAACTTTCCTTTTCTCATACCTCTCCTTTCCTTTATGATATCTCTTATCATCAGAAGTTGAGGTTTCTGACTTCTAGAATCTATCACCATGTTTATTCTGCTTCTGGTCTTTCTTGACAAAAGAAGCCTCCAGAGCTTGCTCAGCTTCCCTTTCAGAAGTTCTCTCAAACAGACGTAACTCTTGTGCTTCTAAACTGCTTTGCAATTCTTCTATTCTCATGGTTTCTAGATCTTTAGAATGTTCAATAGAAACAACAATGTAATCAAATTGAGGAGTAAGCAACCTCACAATCTTCTCTATGGTTACCTGTTCAGACAGAGTTTCTCCACACGCCTCTATGGTGCCAAGTGTCTTTGGCAATTCGCTTTGAAGGGACTATGATCATTCCGTTTAGGAAACACTTTGAGACTTATGATCATTTGATTTTGTTTTGCCAAAGATACTCGACGTGCAAGCATGGCCCATTTTTGAAGGCAACATGTGGGATTACCCTAGGGGGTGCAAGTGTGATTGTGTATTGATTACATGTATTTTGTCTTGTATTAGGTTATCTAGCGTTTGAGTTTATGTACATGCAAACCCTAGGTCTAACCATGGTATAATTGGAAAACTGTAAATTGCGGAATGTAAAATCTACGCTATTACAAAGTAGTATCCGGGAGTGGGGGTATAAATGTACAAAAGGGGATGAGACTTATAGTATCCAATAAGTTACAACCAAATTGAATTTGCGATCAAATGTAAATATCGAATATACAAATATAAGATAAAAAAATGTGTATAGGACAATGTGAATGTATTTGTGTAAGTGTAAGTATGGGATGTGTATGTATTGTGTATGTGTAATTATTTACAGGCGCGATATGTGAAATTGAAGCGTATTAGGGTTTTTGACCTAGATATGTATTTTAATGAATCTTTGATTTGTATATTTAATTATGTACAAAAGAAAACTGTTTTAACTTAAATGTTCAAGTTTTAATTAAGAAGTGTATCTTTATTTGTTTATATACAAAAAGTATTTTAATCAAATGTTTGTGAATTTTAATATTAGAGAAAAAATGTATTTCTATTATTATGTACAAATATGTATGTTAATTAAAAAGTTTTCAATTTTAATTATATGATAAAAAAAGTATTTTACTAT